ATAGTTATATAATATATATCAGTCTTTCCAGCTATGGCAGTGCAGCTGGCGACAAGAAAAAGTAGAACATGAAACATCATGGAAACAATGACCTGACCTTGCACCGCCACAGTCCACAACACCTTTTGACCGGTATTATTCCTTGTCTTCGACTCTTGAGGACCTTTTAATCGATTGGGAGGTCCTCTTCTTCTGCCTTCAGGGGTCGAAATTCGGCCCGGTTTCAACCGGGGCCCATCTGAGTGGACATGCAAACAGATCATCCACTGGTGAAGTTTGGCGATGTTCGGTTTGCGTTCCATACATTACATACATACATTACATTACATTACATTACATTACATTACATACATACATATCCCAAACACTCCATGTAGGCCATATATGCCTACATTGGGGTGGTTTTGGGGGTCAATGTAGGCATATATGGCATACATGGAGTGTCTGGGTATAGTAATTCTACGTAGTTTCGCCCATGACAGGAAAGCTCCACCAAAAGGTCCCTAGCTTCGATTGAAATTCCGAGGGGGCCAAGAAGTCTTTCGATCTCTTCGATCTTCTGATCATCCCAGCATTTCATCCAGTAGCTATAAACACTGCCTACAAATGCCTACAGTAGCAATAAACACTCCAGTAGCTATGAACACAGCCTCCAGTAGCTATTTCACCGTATGTCATCCATATTTCATCATATTCACCATGTATACCATATGCCTCTGTTTTCACCGTGTGCTTCTGTTTTCACCATCGTTCATCCCAGCGTCGATCTTCTGATCTGTCGTCAGCTTGATCTCACCCAGTGGCAGTGGTGCCTGGTCTGTCGTCAGTCGACTGCGCCGCCGGCTTGGGCGGAACACCAGCCAAAAAAACAAGTGGTTGGAAGTTGGAAGGGATGAAGGATTCTGGGTCTGATAAATTCATATGGGATACCGTAATATATTAGCTAGGTAAGATTCTAGATCCTAAAATATCATAAGGCTCCTGGTGCCACCTGCCCACACCTGCCAACACACGGTTCATGCCGCCATGTTCGGGGGTGCTATGGATGTGCCGCTCTTCCACGTTCGGATGGGCCCTGCAAGGGGAATTCATCGTTGACACCGTGATCAAAACAACCAGCTCTTCGGGCTCTTTTCCAATGTGTCATGTGTCTTGGTCGACGGCCATGAGGCTTGCACCCGGAAGAATGAGCAGAAAGGTTGACACAATAAGTTTAATAATAGGATTCCAACAAGGCCAACTTCCTCTAACTGGTCACCATCTGTGACCTCAAGAGCCTCAAGAGGCCTAAAAGGACTCAGATAAAGATTTAGCAACAAATAACAATATTTGCTTATATTTTGTGCATCGTATACGGGTCTGTTAACAACATTTAAAGCAAGAACACCAAATTGTCCTTTATTTGCACTTATTTGTAACTTCTCTGGTGCAACAATCGCTGTCCAGGATGGACCTATTGTAAGATTGCACATGTTGGTCAAAAAAGAGAGAGATAGAGATGAGGACTTAAATTAAAGGATGCCGGTTAAATAGGTTGCTAACGACAATTAAATGTTTATGTTTGTATAAATATTAACACTAATGATTAAATGTGCAATGGTGCAATCTTGAACAAAAGCGGTAATTGTCGGTCGGGGTCTCGTCAATGTTTGAAGCAAGTGGAAGTGACCCTTGGGGCGGGATACAAGAACCAAACATGAAACATGACATAACATATATATATATATATAGTTGGAACATATGCCACTAAAAACCACCTCCTTAAACAGCACACCAAAGCTCCCGAAGCACCTGCTCCTCCTCTTCCATCCTTTCTTTCCAGTGCGGTGAGGTGGCTTTCCTGAAGATTCCGAAGGCTCCGGGGATGCGGATTCACCCCGGCTCGGCTCCCGTTGCGTCATATGGACGCACCAACCGGAGAACGAACCGGCGAAGCACGAACCGCCCAGATGGGTTGCGGAGAGTCTCATGTTTGCGCACAATGGACTTCAGAAGGGTCCTGACATGCCAGCTGAGTTCTGTGAACAAAATCGGAAGCCGAGATAAGCCAAGTGGAGGTCTAGTAGGTTTTAACATCTTTAAACTAAACAATCACACAGGACACTGTGCTCTTCAGTCTTTGGGATGAAATAAAAAATAACGAAACATATTATACATAGATCAGTATTGTTGACAGTTCCATGACTACATTCGGATGCTCACGCGCCAAGCATCCAGTGGTTGCAAAGCTCTAAAGCCTCCTGCGGCCGTAGGTCACCACTTGAGAGCTTCCAGGCGGTGTCAAAGGTATCGTGGATCCATTCTGAGCGCGGTGCGGAAGAGACAACCACTCGCAAAAAAGACCCAAACCAACGGGGGTGATACCAGCAACTCGGTGCATGGTAGTGACTGGTAGTGCATGGCACTTGCTCATACTTGCTCCCCAGTCAAGGGTAGAATGACTGGGAGGTGACACTCCCAGCAGCCGGAGCTTTCCCATGCTAGTCCTTTCCGAGGGAAGGATGCCCAAAGGAATGGTCACTCGCACACCCGCTGAGGTGGTCAAACGCCATGGGGGGGGTGTTTCCACTGTGACTGGGTGGGTGAACCAGATTGAACCTCCAACGAGCATGTTTCGCGTCTATGCCTCTGCAAGTGGTTTGGGATTTGAAAGGAAGTCCAGGAACTGCCCAGAACATCCCCAAACCGGTTCATGCCCCTGTGAGATCAGTGCCGGTCAAAGCAGGATCATGGTAACCTACCCCGAGCCTGTGAAACATTCCTTCCAACTTCCAACTATGAAAAAACATCTCAAAAAATCTCAAAAGGTCTGCCAGTTGGATGCTTTTGGCTGGTTTTGCACAGGTTTTAAAAAAACACACAACATAGTTGGAACATCTAGGTTGAATTGAACCACCAGCACCTCTTATAGGTCTCCTCGTTCAAGGCAAGCCTGGGCCCTGTTTCACAAGCGCTCGGTGGTCTCAGCAGGTGGTCATAAGACTCGACTGAGGCCACCCCAGGCCAACCCCTGTCGTTGACGGACGTCGTGGATACTATGTTTCACCTCCACCGATGTCTGCACGCCCTGCAGCACCGAAAAAAAACCCTGCAGACCATTCGTAGAATCGTGTTGCAGTGTCAGGACAATCCGCAATCAACACATTCTACAATTCTAACATGGAAAATCTCAACCGTTGCCTCGTACCGAGCATATCCACTTGCAACCACAAAAGAATTGAACAGAGTCAAGTAAGCAACGCATCGCGATGGGTTGTTATTGTTTGTTTGCACCAGTCTGACAGTGGGCACCTCAAAAAAACCGTCCAACTACTGCCACCCGGAGGGGCTGACGCCCTCCCTCCACCCGGGCAGCCGGGCTGTGGCGTTCTTCCCGTTCCCCAGAGTGTTTCTCCATCCGATAGATCTTCGTGATCGCGAAGAGGGACTCGGAGCGACGACACACTGAGTTGGATCGCCCGGCGTCCGCCGATCGGCTTCAGGGCAGTGCCTTGTCCGGTCCTATATAATTGGAAGTTATGAACTTAAGCACTGAATGAAACCTTCCGGGTTAGGAAAAAACCACACAAAACAAATGATGGTTTCACTATGTTCAACCAAAAACATCGCAAGATGCGTTTCGCAAGATTTAAGGTGACTGAATCCGTGAATAAGTATTGGGCCAATCACTGAAGGGCTAATGATGCCCTTTGGGCATGATAGACGGGTCAGTTTCGTTAGTGCCAGGTACCATATGTCCCATGTTGCTTGTACACCTGGGGTGTTGCCCTCTATCAACCAAGCATTCGTAAAAGGCAAGCTATGCGGACCGTGTGATAGACGGCACCCGCCAACAATGATAGGGTGTGCATTTCAATAGGGGGACCCACAAACCAATGGGCTGTGGTCTCCCAACAGGTCGTTGCCTGGGAGGTCTCCCTATTGCTGAGCTGGCACATCTTCAATCATTGCAGTGATGCCGAAGGATTCAGCATTCCTTGGTGCTCGCCACCACCAGCTGCCCTGGCGCCATCCGCCGGGTTCGCCGGCTGCTCGGGCCGCGTTCGGTCCTTTTTGGGGCCATTCCGCGTTCAGCCAATCCGCTGGATCACGTGAACGCCCCTGCTGGTCACCACCTGAGCGGTGGAGACAGGGAGTGACTGGCTTGAAGGCGGAGCCCGGGCACCGGAAGCAACACTCTTCGGCTCTCCGAAAAGAATGAAAAATAGTTGGGAAATGCTGGCAAGAAATGTTTTTCCCCACATGTCAGGTGAGGGTTGTTAGATTGTATGGCAGCTGCTTTGCTCCTCCTCCTCCTCCCCCTCTCAACTGCCCGTGTCGGAAGGCAGTGTTCCCCGCCGGACCTCAAGTGCGAGTGTCGGATGGCAGTGTTCCCCGCCGGACAACCGCGAGCTTTGGCGGGCAGTGTTCCCCGCCGGATCTCAACCGCGAGTCAGAAAACATTCCAGATAGAACGCCAGAAGATATGCAAAAGATATGAATGTCACACAGAATGTCAAGATGTGCCAAAAAAAGGAATGTCAGAAAGAATGGCAGAAGAATGCAGAAGAGATGCCAGGAAGAATGTCAAAAGATATGCCAGATAGAATGCCAGAATGAATGTCAGCCATTGTCAGCCAAAAAGAACCTCAGAAAGAATGTCAGAAGATATGCCGGAAAGAGTGTAAAAAGTATGCCAGAGAGGATGCCAGAAGATTTGCCGGAGAGAATGCCAGAAGATATGCCAAAAAGAATGTCCGAAAATAATATGCCAGCAAATATGCCAAAAGAATCGCGACAAACTTGTGAGGGGGGGACCCTACATGTAACTTATATTCTCCTTGATTTTCAACGTCAAAAATTACATGTTCGACCACCCAGCTTACATTTTTCATTGAACATTCACACGAAATATGACACCCGTATTCACAGTTTTAGCTAAGTTACATGTTCCTGTTTTTGAGCCCATATATTGAAAATCTAACATGAATTGTTAAAGGGCTTTTCCCTTTAGCAAATTCCTTGCATTTCCTTTCATTTCGCATTATTTCCTTTATGTTCCTTTCATGTTCTTTTCATTCTGCATGTATTCCTTTCATTTTCCTTTCATGGTGTATTCATTTCCTTTCATATTTCTTGTGTTGATGTCCTTTCATATTCCCTTCAGTTTGCAATCCTGTCCATTCAATTTCTTTCATGGTGTATTGATGTCCTTTCATATTTCTTTCATTTTGCATTTATGTCCTTTCATGTCCCTTTCATTTTGCATTCATGTCCTTTCATGTTCCTTTCATGCTCCTTTCATTTTGCATTAATGTCTTTGATTTGTCCTTTAATTTCGCATTTATATTCAACAATTTTCTTGTAGTTCTGCTGTCATTTCCCTTTATTTTCGTTTCGTGTTGCAATCATTGCCTGTCATGTTCCTGTCACGTTGCATTCTTTTCCTTTTTGTGTTCAATTCGTTTTTGCATTGATGTCCTTTCATTTTCCTGTCATTGTGCATTTAATTCCTTTCTGTTTACTTTCGCTTCGCATTCATTTCCAAAAGGTTTCCTTTGATTTTGCTGTCATTTCCTTTCATTTTGCAGTCATTGCCTGTCCTAGGTTTTTCATGTTGCACTCCTTTCTCTCTCATGTAAAGAGATTAAAAATGTAACATTGAACGCTGAAGGTTTTCCTCTTTAGACTTTTCCTATCATTTTGCATTAACGTCCTTGAGGCATATCCTGTCATTTTGCGAGTGTTTCCTTTCATTTTCATTATGTCCTTTCATGTTCCTTTCATGTTGCATTCAGTTCCTCTCATGTAAAAGATGTAACATTAAATGCTGAAGGTTTGTTCCCTTTCGACCTGTCCTGTCTTTTTGCAAAATCCTGGCGCACAGTTGTATATACACAAACACACACACACAAAAACATTGACGCCTCGCCACCAAGCCAAAAATCAACCTCAAAAATGTAACTTCCAATTGGGCCAGGCCCCCAAACCCTCAGATTTCCCCAGGAACACCTAGGTTATGTGAGAAACGCTGACCTCACGAATTGCAATTTACATTTTGGCCACATCCCAAAACGCTCAGAATTTACAAGGAACTAGGACATCCCCCATTTTGTGTGTGTGTCAACCCCTGTGCCTAAGGGTTTCCGCCTCTTGCTTTGCTTTCAGTAATTCGTTTTCAGCAGGGGGGCAGTGGACCGCTATCACTCACTGCCCAACGAAGACAGTGATAGTCCGGTCGTGATAGTCCATGGTTGTTCCCATGCTACCTTCCCCATAAACAGGTTTCCACCGTTCGTGAGCTGCCGCTGAGTCACTGCAGATGTGCAAAACAACTTTTTGCTAAAACATCTTCAAATCTTTGGACCTTTCGCCGTGCGCAAACAACTTTTTTCACCTTCCTTCCACTTGGGAACTGAGTTAACAGAAAACCAATGTCAGAGTGTTTGTGTACGTCTGTGCGTCAGGATTTTGCAAAATGACAGGAAATGCCGAAAGGCCACCGCCTGGGCGGGTACCCGCATGACCAGTTTGAGCATACCATGCACCTTTTGAAGGAAATTCAACTGAAAGGCGCGCAACATGGAGAAACATGGACAGATGAATGCAAACATGAAAGGACCTGAATGCGAAAGGAAAGGAAATGAATGCGAAGTGAAAAGAAATGTCCATATAAAGGGAAAGAGCATTCAGCATTTATAGTTACATGTTGAAAAGATTCCTTGCAGTTGCCTGGGAGGATACCCGCATGACCGGTTTGAGCATATCACCTTTTGAAAAGATCAACAGGAAAGAAATGCAAAATGAGCGGGAGATGAAATGAAATGAATGCAACACGCAAGGAACATGAAAGGACACGCTCAAACTGGTCACGGGTACCCTCCCATGCGGGTACTCAATGTAACAAGGTTCGGTTGGACAAGGATAGCAAGGCAAAACAACGATAGGAAAAACAGAAGCTAAACGAAGCGTCAAGGTTAGGCAAGGTTTCCAAGTTACATTTGTTGACCCCCTCCTTAACCGGAAGGGTCTTCCAAAAATGTAACTTAGAACGTCCCCGTATCAAGTTACACTTTCCCGGACCCCCCACCCACCCACAGGTATGATTCCAAAAAACGTTGCAACATGTATCAAAATGCAAGTTGCATTCTTTGGCGGTGGGGAGGTGGCCAAAAATGTAACTTACATTTTGGGTTCCCCCCCACCGTTTTCATGGTTAAAGTTAAAGGGGTGGCAATCCAGAAGGCACGCCAGAAGGAATGTCAAAAGATTTGCCAGAAAGAACGCCGGAAAGAATGCCAGAAGATATGCCAGCAAGAGTGCCAGAAAGTATGCCAGAAGAGTGTAGCTGATATCCAAAGGATAGAATGCCAGAAGAGATGCCAGACAAAAGATATGCCGGAAACACTGTCAGAAAGAATGTCAGAAGATATGTTAGAATGAATGTCAGACGATATGCCAGAAAAATGTCAGAAGATATGCCAGAAAGAATGCCGAATGTTTCAATACATGCCAGTAAGTTTGTCAGATTTAAATTAAATGTAACCGGGATCACTCGAAGTAATGTATTTTTTGGTAATGAACCCCTATAAGAACAACATGGCGCAAAGTTGTGGCAAGCGATACACATGACATGAGGTATACATCGCACGCTGCTCAGCCACAAGATCTCCGAACTCGTTGAGGCCCAAAGCAAAAGCGGCTTCCTCAGTGATCGAGTCAACACAGGCTTCTTGGATTCAACCATATACAATCTTCCAAAATCCAGCGACCCTGACATACCCTGACCCTCTTCTTCGGACACGATAGAAAAACGGTAACGCCGTTTTGACGAAAGGGAGTCGTTTCTGACAGGGCGATCGAGTTCCGCAGTGATTTCACACATTCGTCCCAAAACAACATTATATAACCCTACACCTACAAGTACCTCCTGAGAAGGTATTTGGACACTGCAAACCCACCCCAGTCCCACCTTCGAAACGAAGGTAAGGAGTAAAATAAAACACCCAACATCACGATCGAGCGGCGAGCGGGGTTCGTGCGTCCCTACTCAGATTCGGAGAAACCTTGTCACCCTGAGAAGGACCGAAACGTCAAGGACCAGCACATTCAGGTCCAACCGAAGGTGTTCCTTGAAGGTGCATGCCTATATGGTGTTTTTTTCAGGATTCAAGTAGCTTCTCAGAGGGTACCTTGGACCCTCCTGGCACCTGCATAACAGATCATAACAGTGTCTCCAATCACCGTACCTGAGAAGGTATGACTGGATCCCTAGAGATGTGACCGCTGCAACCCAGTCGTGGAATCTTAGATTTTGGCCCTGCCCTCTTTGAGCCTGCAAAAGTCTATAAGCTCCATTGGCTTTGGGGGCAAATCAACATTCCTGAGTGGCACACTGAAGTGAGGCCTTCTCAAAACATCCATGGTAATTAACCAAAATGTAACGTGGGTTGCACGGGATCAAACTCCAAAACATGCTTAACCAACCAACCCTGATAATAAAAGTGTTGTCCCAAAATTTCAGGAGTGCATCATGGAGCAAGCAAATCCCTAAAGATTCCAAATCATGCAAATCCAAGTTCAGTATGATGGAAGGCGATAAAGAAGTACGTGGAAAAAAATAATGAGCAACTTATAATAATAAGGGCATGTTTTATGACCACTGCATCTAGCGATCCTTTCTCTGAGAAGCCTTCTACTCCTCATTCATCCAAGCGTCTTCCATGGGCGGTTCCTGTTCGTTCCTCGCGACCCAGCCCATGTGCCCCGCCAAGGTCCCAGGTTGCTCCGCGGAGGCGCAATCGCTGTGCTCCCGGCAGAGTTTCACGAAGGCATTGGGCTCCACAAGGAGTCCTGGAAAACGTGGACATTCCGAAAACCCCACCAACCGTCGAAATGGGGGGATCCCACAGGGATCCCTATGCCATAGCCGGCAGCCCCGGCCCGTTTATGTTCAATGTGTTCCGCCCTTCAAGGGAAAACCAAGAAGACAACAAGAACGGGAACAACATGGAGCAACAACAACACCAGGGTTTCCAAAGGTCATTGTTCTTGGAGAAAAAACCAAGAAAGCACAACCACCGTCCACCGAACCACCGAACCACCGACGCCCGTGCCGTGCCCGTGCGGCTCGCGCCCGTGCGTTCGTGCCGCCGAAGGCGCTCTGCAGCACCTGCAGCGCAGTGGTCTCAGCCTCATGCGCGCCCCGAGCGGCGCCCTCACGCCGGGCCGCGGGGTCCAAGACGCGAAGCTGCTGGTGTTTGAAGAGGATGTGCCGCAAGAAGATGCTGCGGCCTGATGGGACTGACTAGCTGAAGCTCGTGACTGGCCGGTCCACGGACCGCTCCGTTTGGGAGGCGCGGCGACCGGTGTGAAGGGGCTCGAACATGTGATAGCGCGAACGACGTGCGAACGACGGTTGCAACTGGACCGAATGAGTGCAATCACCTCCAAGCCACGAGTTTCACCCGAGCTAAACATGCATGAAAATACACCTTTTCCTCTCGATCCAGGTAAATGCTCCATTCCTAAAGGAAACAAATCTGATGCTGAACTGCGGGTGCGTTCCACTGTGTCCGGACATTTTGGCCTTGCAATCTGCAGTTGGAAGGCATGCGTGACCTCTTGTTTCTGCATCTACCACGTGACAAATCACGAAACACCATACTCGTGCCCTCTGCCTCTTTATTCTTCCATTTGCACCCGTTTTTCACTGTGTAAGGCACACAACTTTTAACCTCTGACCCAAAAGAACTGAAGAAAAAGGGCGCCAAGGATTTGGAGCTTAAAACAACAATTTCGAACGAAAAACGTCCGATGCCATGCCTCCTCCTTGTGTTGTTTTCTGCTTCTTTGCCAGGGGCCCTCCAGAGCTTTTGGCGCCTTGCCCTTCCTCGCCTGAAGAACGATTGCGGAGACCCACAGTGGATGGTCAAAACTGGGTGGGGTGATGGAACCACATATTATATCTACCCTAGAAGTCCAAAGACTATATTTTGACCGGCTGAAGTAAAGGAAGTTCCCTTTCAGGTCCCCTAAAGACCATTCTTTTTATAGTCTTTGACTCCCAGGGTATATATATATATATCCGGGGAGTACATGGCACAATGTTTTAGTAAGGTACTGTTTTGAGGGCCAATTACTGTCATAGGAATCCAAACACAATCTTGGAGCCTTAGCAGTCAAAGAAGGCCCCCCTTTCACCCAAAAGGAATACCCCGCGATGTGGCTCAAGGTGGCCATCAGAGTCTTTGGATGCACTCAAGGGTGCTGGTGCTCAAACAAAGTCAGGGTATGTCAGGTGACAGTGCTTTCATTGCCAAACAGCATGCTGGTACTTTAAAACAATAAGCAGTGATCAGTGCAAATCAGTCCACAAACTGAATTGTTGGTCCAGCTATGTCCAGCTTCTTCATAGTGACCTTTTGAAGTGTGTAAGGGACCCCTTCTATGTAACTGTATTATTCTTTTTCATATGGGCCTAAATGACTTCAAACCAGCGGGCCAAAGAAACTTTGAAGAACCCAGGGTAATGCGACTCCGCGTTGTCCATATAAGATCGACTGGTTCACCCGCCTCCCTTCCACAGTTTCACACAGGCTTGGATGGTATAAGTTGGAAAGCACAAAACTCCGCAGGAAACCTCTTGTAAAACGATCACCACATATCGCAAATCCACAATTTTGGACCTGCTCCTGAATTTCTGTCAAGCCATGTTGGGCGAGAATGGATCTCAAATTCAAGCGTTGCATAAAACCCAATATGTTGTCGAGAAACCGGCCTGGGTCTGAAGCTCTTGATCATATGAGGCGACGAAACAGAAACGTAACTGGACCCTTCAGCTGGAAGCGCAGAGCGTCCACTACTGATATGAGTTCGGACAGGCCTAACATGCCCTAACCCCTAACCCTGTAGCAAAGGCAAGGGCATGCAATGCATTGCAATACCGTACCAGCTGCGCGTCCCCACAACATTCGGTCACAGCTCACAGAACCCACCAACTGTCTGGCGCCCGCGCCGGTTTTCAGGCAACATGTGGCTCAGGTTAAAGCAAAGCGACGATTGCAATCCAGATCTGGAACACCTGACGAACCCTTGGTTTCTGTCTCTGTTCTTGTAGGATGATGGAAGCCGCGCACGCAGTGGCGCTATCTATTGTGACTGAGCCTGAAGCTTCAGCACCCGCTTCCCCAGCGCCCGCCCTTCCGTCTCGCCGCCTTTGGCCTCACACCGCAGGCAGGCTGCCACCACGCTATTGGACTGCAATTCCTCAGGCCGGCGGCCGATTGCACTCCGGTCATCACAGGACAACCAGGTCGGTTCTCACCAGGTCATCCGCGGAAACCTGCCGCGCGGTGAGACCACTGCGAGGTTGTTCACAGGTCATCAGATCACCTTTGGGAGGTTTCACTGAAAAAAAATGTTGTTATATTCCCTAGGGCTCCAAGTGCCTCCTCAGAAGGTGTTTGGACCCTCTAAACCCACCCCAAACACCTTCTTAGAAGGTACTTGGAGCCCTAGGGATTGTGTTTACACCGATGGTTTGACTTTTATACTACAAAGCCGCATCCGACCTGTTTTCAACTGTTCCTTAATTAAGGGTTCTTGAATCCATGCAGGGTATACACAAAAACTTACAGTATACTTCTAACTTATAATCACACATCAACGTGCCCTTTGGCCAACGCACACGTTGATTGGGCACTGCATGGGTCAAATATATGGTCTTGCCTCTTTGGCAGTAATCATTGCCACAAATCAGTGGCAGAACCCTCGGAGATCGGATCCCAAAAAACCATAAAACAAACCATAAAACGGCCACTGCCTGTTCCTCCTCTGTGATCAGCGCCATGGCTTCCCTTCTCTAAAACAAACCCGCCTAGTCCTCCTTTGTCAGGAACCTAGGACATGTAGGTCTCCCAGTTCCACACTCCCGTATACTCCAGTGATCTCCAGTGAGTCAGTTCAGTCCAATCCTTCCGCCTTTCCCCACCCCACACGGGGCCGCACCCGGAGCACCCGCTCCGGTCCCCCGCTCCACCGGGCATCTTGGCACCAGCGGAGCGCCGAAGCCTTGGGACAGCGCTTGAAGCTGGTGGAGCTCCTCGAGCGAGAGAGGGCGGTGTTTCAAGGCGAAGGAGTTCGCAGGCCCGAGGTTTTAGGGTTTTCGCCTGGTTAGAGTCCAACTCGAAGTACCTGTCGAAAAGTATTTATGGTACATGATCTGTCGGATTTGTCGCAGGTGCCAGGTCTGTGGCTTCCGATTCGTTGGGAGCCCAGTCTGGGGGAGCCCAAATGGGTCGCTCACGGTTCGCAGCTGGAGACGGCTCCGTCTCAGGGAGAGTCTGTGCTTCACCGGCCGATGCCCTTGTTACGTTCGTAGCGTTCCTAGTAGTAATGCCAGGAGCTACTAGCTTCTTGTTACTAGTAGCGATGCCCTTGTTACCAGTAGTAAAACAAAACCATTGCAAACTTATATAAGTGCATCGGTGCAAAAAGATTTTGTGGTCAAGTTTGATCCTCATATATCATATACCCCATTGATTAGGGAACTCCAAATGCCAGGGATATCCTTCTGTCATGGGATCTATACTTGTTCAAGAAACTTGCACCATATCTGCCCGTTTTTGTGGGTGCCACTCAATACGCGGCAAGCCATCAACTACAAATTCAGACTCGACCCACAAACGTCCATCTGTGATCGTGAATCATCACTGGCGAACTCCCAAAAGAGATTCAGGACGAACCTTGTGGGCGGGAATGGTTTCAGGACAACATTCCTCACTCATTATCATCAGTTATTGAGCCATCGGCTGCCCCAAAGTCAGGGGTAATTGTTGCCCAGCATGAGGGAAAACAACACATGCAGGAACACAGTATGTCACATATAGTCTATCTGAAACACATGGCATCTCTTGGGTCGAAAAGGGTCACCACCCACGACTTGAGGTTAAAGAAAAAGCGTCAAAAGAAAACAAGACCTGTAGAGTTCAGTGCTGGTGTTCATCATCACCACTACCACCACCACCACCAGCACCAGCACCAGCAGCAGCAGCACCACCACCAGCAGCACCACCAGCAGCACCACCATCACCATCATCTTCATCATCAGTTCACCCTCCCTCTACACCACACCACCACACCCCAAAAGAGCCCAGGAAGCGATGCGCATTGCCAGGCCAGCCCAGGCACTTCAGCAGTTGCTGATCGGTCAAGGAGGCAGTGGCCCCACAAAGGAGCGCCACCCGCACGCCGCGTTGAACTTGCCAGGAAACGCTCTCGGGGCGCATCACGACCTGCAGTGGCAAGCAGTGCCTGAGAACCGAAGATCTAGGAGAGCCGAAGATCTACCTCACAACTTGTACCAGGATCCTCCAAGGGGTGCCCAATGGAAGCCTATAGGTAGTGTGGGGTAGTCCAGCCAGGACACCCCGACAGGAGGGTCCAGGTATGCTTTTGAAACGGATGTGCTCCACCTGTTCTATATCGTGACTGGGGATGCCAATTCGGCGGCTTTTGCAAGTGATCCACTTTTGGTGGGATCAAAATTCCAGCATCCCCCCAGCTTCCAACTTCTTTGTGATCTTTCCTCGCTTGCTCGCAAAACGCAGCCCAGCCACCAAGGCAGCGGGAAATCGCATATCCTGAGACCAAGGAAACTTCTCGCTGGTCAAAGGGCGCGAAGGGCTTTCACATTTTGCGGGATGGCATCCAATGCATGCCTCTGTGCTCTGACAAGCTCACAGCCCCCGAGTTGATCACTTGAGAGCTAGCAATCTTCCTCCCAAATAAGGATCATTTCCTGAGGGTAACCAAACACCCCCTCCCCCGTGTCCTGCAAATGAACACCCTCGCAAACCCTCGCCTCCTGACTCCAAGTCAGTGTAGTTTGCGAGTGTGTTAGTCAGCCGCAGCACACACACCATTCACTTTTAACGTCCTAGCTGATCCCATCACGAAATTCTTAACCCTCACCATTCCCATCCATTGCCCCATGGCCCAGCACACTTCATGGACGACTAAGGGCCTGAGAACTTCCTTCCCTCCCAGCCATGGAGGACCCGCCCTGTCAGTCCACTGAACCAGCACCCAGGGCGCTCGGCAGCCCAGCGCGCGGCCCATGGGCAGCGGCTGCAGCCGGAGCGCCTCTTGCCGGGCCAAGGCCTCCTTCGAAGAGGGACGGCGTAAGGTCTCCACAGCCTCCTGCCGAGTCTGCGGAGTCGTGATGACTGTGGTGATGACTGTGATGTGTAGAGAGACAAACGCATAAACACAATGGCAGCCATAAAACTGTGTAGTGAGAGAGGGGGGGGGGGGGGGAGAGAGAGAGAGAGAGAGAGAAATAAAAAAACACAAGTAATCATGATGACTCCATCTACCAAGAGTTGGCTTGGTTTGGGAGGTCTGTGAAAGCATCCCGCTAAATATATATATATATATATTGCATATGTCACAGGAGGAGTCTTCAGTCTCAGACCCCCGGGCAGGAAACACCGGGCAGGCCACGGAAACATCACCGATGTTGGCCATTTGTTTGGGAGAGCCAGCCGGGTGTGTGAAGCTTCAAAGCCAGGGTCCGGTGGAAAAATGCTTGCAGTGTATAGTATATATCCATATATATCCTCCGCTCTTGGAACCTGACACTGACTTTTTCAAGATTATACTGACACTACTTGATACTTCTTGTGGGCCAAGCGAAGGAAAACGGATGGAAAAGGGATCTACGATGATCGCAGTGTGGTTTTCAGGACTGAAAACCTGACGGAAACACATAATTAATGCTGGTGCTAACAATGGTCAATTGGGCTGGTTCTAGGTCGGGCGCGGAATTGTTTCTGAATTCCGCGCGCTTGGTGTTTCTCTGGTGGACAAGCACCGTTGATCAGCTCCTTGTAGGTGGCCACCGCGAGGTCATATTCCTCAAGCAGCTGGTGTGAAACTGGGCTTGTAGCGCAACACTAACACCAAGAACACTGCCCCTGCGTGGGCACAAGGTATCAAAAGGTAGTTATAGACACTCCAAGTCGAAGCATCCGCTAACACTCGCCCGGTGTTTGTCTCCAGGAAAACATCGCCCAGGCACCGCGCGAACCAAATGCTCAAGCTTCTCCAACTTCTTGATGCCCATCCTGCCGGGATGGGAAGTCACCTACCCAACTTCCGTAGGTTCGGACCAACTCCAAAAAGTCTCAAGCTGTCAGCGGTATCTGCCCATCTCCAAATGACAAATCAAGCAGTAGCTAATTACTTGTCTTGGCTGGGTCATAGCCCTTCCAAGTGCCAAATCGATCCCGCTCTGAACATTGACTCATGAAGGGCCCAGTCTGCGCCTCGAGGCTTTAGCTGCCTCCTCCACCAAATGCTCTGTCTCCGTCGTCGGTGTGCTGTCCACACCCAACAGCGCAGCCGCACCCTCGCGCGTGTGGACCTGCGAGCTCGTGATTTCACGAGACAGGAGCTTCAGTGAAGCTTCAGTGAACTTCTAGAAGTGACCTCCAACCAAAGTATTCACTTGCTCTGCGCTTGCCCCTCGGTGTCATTTTTTCGCTTGAAGCCGTGCAAACCATGGCCGCCTCCGCTTGCAGGGTCTGATGCAGTTCCAGGACTGATGCCTTGTCCGCGCTGCACAGGCTCTCCAAGACCTAAAAATCGAGCCGCCGCCCGAATTCTGCGCGCCGCGTCGGAGAACACAAGAGTTTACTATGCATAATTATGCAATATATTCTACTGCGTGCGATATGGCTTTTGTGATGTCAATCGCTATGCAAAAACATATCTATACAAAAACCCTTTCAATCCCTTTCACATGTACATGATAATGCAAGATCTTTTTGCATAGAGTCGCACCCAAACGAGTCTCACGAAGTCTCACCCACTCGCCAGGTATGGCACTCACATATATGACTCAAGCAGTCTCAAGTGAGACAAACGATCCAAAATTGAAAACAAATACAATGGGCCCAGCATAGATAGAAACAGTTTTAGTGGGAATCTATGTTATTTTCTACTTTGGGGTCGCTGCACGGAGGGTCCCTAAACTGATCCTTTGGCCTAAGTGACGTGACCGCAAACGTAAATCTCAAATGGAAATAATGCGAGCATTCATGATTATATGATTATAGTTGATGGATTGTCCAATGATGGCTTTGGACTTGGAAGGCTGGGGGGGCTCAATTCGAGCGGAAAAGCATCTCTGGGTCTCAAACGGACTGAGTCTGCCAAGTCACCTCCTTCGCACCGTCGAGGCGTGCGAAGGCCTTCTTGAAGCTTTGAGCATCCTGGACGCGTCAACCCGACTCCTTCGTTTACAAGGAATTGCGTTTTGAGAAGCCTGGAGGTCACCACGAACCTGGTTTGGCCAGTGAATGGTGAAAATCCCTGGAATGTCTGCATTATACCTGTTTATTGCTTGTTTCCATACATGTTCATAGATTCTCGACTCCCAAAGTCCCTGCTAAACGACCTGTTTTTCTTTGCTGGGTCTGTTGTTTGCTACCTGTCAAGCTAGGCCGCTTCGACTGCGGGGGCTTAACTTAAGTCTTAATTTAATTAGTCCTACTGTCAAGCACGTTGAAAGATCAAACCAAGCTTCAAATTTAAATGGAATTGAATAGTCCAAAGTACACCCTGGCATTCCAACAGCCATTGTTTTGCAATAGATGTTAGACTACAGAACCAGGCTAGCCATTCTTTTGAAGCGAAGGCTAGGGTAAAAGCAAGCCACCCCGTATGTTCAAATCTTGCAGCCTGTAGCTGAACTCACCCAAGCCGCCTCATCACTCTCAACTATAGCCGGATGTGTAGTTTTTGGCATATACCATATACCCAAACATTCCTCGCATGGTATACATGCCTACCTTGACCCCTGAAACCACCCCAGCGTATGCAAAGATGCTAGTACCATCAACCGTTTGGTTTCCAGGTCCCAGTTCTCTCTCCAGGCGTCTTCCGTCTGCTTGTCAGGATGCACCTTCAATGCCACCTTCCTGGGGGTAAGGATGTGAGTGGAACTGGCGAGGCAGGCGGCAGGAGCGTGAATTTTTGCTGCCTGTTGATATAGCTGCCTGGAAACATGTCGGTTTTAAAATGGATTTAAACCTTCAGGCATGTTCAGGCTGCGGCTCAGGCCACATTCAGAAACACAGCCGCGTGTTTGGGATTTCCATGATGTTGATGCTGCATCCAATTTGGAATCTAGAATCCTCAGGCCTTGTCTGTTACTCAATTCAGCATTGCCACTAAGGTGCCGGTACTGGGTGCGCACCTGCTTCTCATCCAGACCATTGGGCTCCATCTGCAAAACCTGGATGCGAGGGATGCGAGGAGGTCAGAGTCGTCCGCCCTGACCTGCCTGACCTGTGACCGGCCTGAAGAGCCCCCTAGCTCCATGTCTTACCGTGTCGATTGCTTTTGATCCATCCAACTATGATTAACGGTTTTGGGTGAGTTGGGTGCGGAGTTTGCATAGCCCAAGCTAGTTAAGCCTAGATTCAAAGGACATCGTGCAGGAACCTGCCAGAATGCTTCCTCATATCCAGGTCTCGTCTACCGGGCAGGTCACCGGTGGTTCGCCCCACGCGGCGGCGACGCGCGCGTCAGGCCATCGTGGTGCCTGGAAAGGGTTTCGGGCCATCAGCACCCGCTCCGCGTCGTTCGACTCGCTGTCGGGCACGCGGATGAGCATGTCCTGGCCAGAAAGCAGGGTTCAAACGGGTATAGTATAGTGGATAGTCCCTAAGGGAGCGGATGCAGCCTGCCCTTCCAAGATCGAGCACCCTTTCGAAACTCCTCACATGCACCTTGCGTACGGTTTCGATCTGTTTCCACTCCTTCTCAATCCAACCTCCTCGCTCCCCTGCTCCGCCTCCACCTCCCCGTCCTTCCGGAGGTGGCCCTTCGCCTCTTCGATGCGCTCAGCATCCTGTGCCAGGTCCACACCCTTCATCAGCTCTCGAGAGCTCTGATCGTCGTAGAGCAGCACCACCCGGAACCTTGGTCTTTCGGCCCCTCCCGGAGCACGTCTCCACGAGGCGCGCAAGCGGTGGAGACGAACGGTGGGTGCGAGCTTGGAGCTTGGTAGGGGGGCGAGGTGGTCCAATTGCGGTTCTGGGGTGTCTCCTGGAAGTCAAGTAGGCAGCAGGTTTGATTTTTCTCGGCAATCAGTGGAAGCCTTCTCGTCTTTCTAGCAAACTGCCTGGAAGAATCATATATCATATCATACAGTATCATATATCTATATAGGTTGGTCGATGCGATGTATATGTCGATGTGGGGTATTTGGAATATGAGTTACCCACAAGATCCCACAAGATGCTCAAGAGGGCGCTCGCATGCTCAAACCCTCTTTTCTCCAAGTTGCTGCCCCACGGCGGAGATGAATAAGCGATCCCCAAGCAACCTAAGGCAAAGGGCACTGGCAACCAGGGACTGCTTTGACACCATGATGATCATGTGCCGAGCTCTAAGCCCCCCAAAGCTTCCTGGCTCTTGTTGCAGCCTGTTCCCCAGATGGCCCTGGCCATCCCTGGCACTGGATTTTGGTCCAACGGGTTACGGGTGGCCACTTCTCGGTCCAAACGGCAGTTGAGTCTGAGAGTCTACGCTGATCGAGAAACGCAATTCTTCGAAGAAAACACCTGCGCATACCTGCGATGACCTTTGCGGGTGCATCGGCTAATGGATCACTAGACTAGCATCAGTTCCCGTCAGTCCCTCCAACTGTCGTTTCAAGTGGCAAGGCTAAGACGGCGCTGCTGCCGCTGAAGGCGGCGGCACTTTTGAGGACTTCAGAGTCCAAGTCGCTCAAGACACTTTCCATCAAACGCTGCAGCTCTTCGCTCCTCGACACCACAAGCGAACCCGAACCCCCAGCGAGCCCCCAGAGCGTCAGTTCTCGCCTTTGAGCCGCCGTTACGGCACGGCACGGTGGTGATCAAAGAAGAAGAGGTCTGAAGAGGCCAGGTGCAGGGATGTTCGGGGTACATGTTGGCCTTCAATCATCTAGCGCGCTGATTGAGTGACAGGTGGGGAAAATGAGCCACGCCCTCCAAGCTGTCGACACCCTTGAGGTGTAAAGCAGCTGAATGGCGGGGCCGGCCGGTCTTGCAGCCCCAGCATCTTCCAAGCATGGATCTTCTTGGCCAAGAGCGGGAGAAGCTTTAAATGGAAATTCTTGGCGCACCAGTCCTGAAAGACTTCCCGGTCGTCAAACATACATTGCCGTCCGAACCATCGTCCGAACCCGACCACACGGCCCCTGTTTGGATAGGAAAAGGTGCGGCCGGTGGTCCAAAATAGAGCTCACTCAGGGTCGGCCCGGTGTGCCCGGTGTGCCCCGGCCAACAACGAGTTGACCGAGGGCAAGTCACCAACTGAGTTCACATGGCAGACCAGTCTTTCAGACCTTCTTCTTCCGGGAGCTTTGCGTTGGCCTGAAGGAGTCTGCTTTGGCAAGCATCGCATGTTTGCAGCTAAGTAACATGTGCCAGACCTTTTTCGGGAATGGACTCAAAACCGATTCAAGATGACTAAATCCACCGTGATGGTCATCTCAAGCTCCCTCTTGGACCTCTCTTTATTGTAAATAAGTGTAGCAAAGTACCTTCAGAAATGGGTACAAGTACTTTTTGTTCTGGTGTCATGTCCTCCCTTTTTCTAGAGTACGAACTGGAGCGTCAGGTAGAAATGCCAAACAAAACCAAACCATCCAAGAACGAAACCGACCCATTGGGCAAGCAGCTGCAGCTTCAGCACTGCGCACCCCTGCGCGCTTGCGACGCAAGGCACTCTGATAAACATGTTGACCAGTTGACTCAGCAACGTCCGCCAGAGCTTTAAGAAGCAGTGTATTCTGAGTTAAAGGCACTCACAAAAGGAAAAAAAACAATCTTTGGATTGTTAGTACTTTAACAGGGGCACAATCCAGGCTTGTGTTTTGTAGTGATTACAGTTGCTACTTAAAACCTTCTAATTGAAAGTACATGTAACATCGAAAAAACGACTCTCGTGGGACATTAGCTGCTGTTACTGGGGTGACAGGGTATCTGTTTTCATCCCTAAGTATGCAACTTTTCAATGAGTAACTGGCATTTCTTGACGCATATTCACATTTGCCTGCATTTCTCAGTCCACTGAACCTGGTAATTAGCTTGGATAGTGGAAAACATGTAAAACATATATCACGCATCCAACAAAAAGGGATCCCTTCCAGGGCCAAACCTCTTCATCCCCAATCCCCATGCTAGGGTTTTTGGTGAGGCAACATCCTCCGTGAAACTTCTGCGGAAAGCAAGCTGTCCTCATAGTGACCGGCATTGCGACATCCTGCTCGATTGAAGACACTTTGTCTTTTGAAAGGAGTCTTCGTAACCAACGCCAACAGTTCATATCTAGCAACGCCAACAGTTCATATCCCTGGCCCTTCCACAGGTCCGATCGGTGTCCGACCTTGAAAGAGTGCATAGGCGGAGGCCGGGGAGTCCAAGAAGCTCAAGGGGAACTTCAAAGCTAATCGGGCGATCCTGAACCAAACGCGAGCGGTTCCGCCCGGGCCGAAAACCAACGAAAACAAAGCGGTTGCGCCCATCGACTCAGATCGATGGAAAGGGTGTTCTTTTTCCCGATGATCGGCTCCCAAGACCCCGAAAAGAACGGTTGTGTAGTGTAAAAGGCCTTAGTAAAGCAATAATGGTTTGATGAAGGCTATTAAATCATGGTTGGAAGCCGATGATGGATATCTTTTAGCTTACTATCGTAAAGTATGCTTATAAGATCTTACAGTATATTACTTCTACCAGGACCATGCGTTTCGGGTGTGGCTGGACTACCCTCCGCTTAGAGGGATCTCTGGACACCCAAACAGGATGGTCCAGATATATACACCATTATACACCATGTTCCCAGCACGTCTTCCGGGCGGACACGCCGAATCATCGGTCGACGTGCGAAGACGGATCAATCCATGGAGCCCTCGACCGGATGTTTCTGCGGAATCCAAGAGAGGTTGAGAGACCTGAACTAACTAGGACCCTGTAGTGGTACATATATGTACATATGGGATAGGCCGGATAGGCTATAAGGCTGTTCAACCTCTCTTGGATTGGGTGTTTCAGGAGGATTTGTGGTCCAACTCGGCTGCTTAAGGACCCCCCGAGGAGGGGATCTGATGAAACGAGCCATGTGAGTTTGTCGCATGGACCAAACAAAGATGCACATCTGTGGGCAGAAATCGGAGTTATATAGACAAGTAATTACAAGACTATATACAAGTTATACAGGAGAGAAGGGGTAGAATAGGAGTGATTTGAGGGCAAACATAATACCTTTGCATAGGCAACATGCATCGGAATATAGATCATGAATTGGGATGAGGAGATCCATATGGTGTTCTGCAGCAAATGAGACCACGCCAACCTGCTGGCAAATGAATGTGGCGTCAAAAACATCAAAAACTGTAGCCATGTCACTCGGGCTGTCTGAACATTCAGCTACAAGTAAAAGCCTAACCCACATGTGGCTCTCCATGCTCTCCTGCAGAACTTGTTAATGACCGAATTGGTTGGTGTAACCTGCTCAAGCATACGTCTTTGAGTCAAACTCAGGGTGTGGGATCATAGGTCAAGCAAGAACAGGAACAAACAAACACTCAAACATTAGCAGAAGGCCGCAAAGACACGACTAACAAGGCTAACAAACAACTACAGTGAGTAACCAAAATGAACTAAGTCCACTCAACAAACGATGAAACCATTGCAGAACTGCCAATTGCCTTGGTGCACCGGTGCACCCGAATGAAGAGCACACAAAAGCCTTTGGCTCATATAGTTTTCCAAGGTTCTTCTTCAACTCCTGGGCCCAACGAGCTCGGTGAAGGCCAATCTGGAGAAGCCCATCTTGACACCAAAACCATACAATTGGGTATAGATATGTATAGATGATGATGGTTAGGTAGGTATGGTTAGGTAGCAGGACTTTGTCTCAAATAGTGATCATTGTTTACCGACTCTTAACAAGAACCGTTACCCCACATGTCAATGCCCCCAGTGCCCCTAGAGGGTTTCCACCTGGTCAGAAGTTAGACCCCCAAATCTCGATGGGTGGAGCAGGCTAGGGTAGGAGCTGACTGCGTCTAGCCGGCGCTCGGGCTCGGGTTCCAGCTCTTCGGGTCCGAAAGGCGAACGGGTTGCATTTGTTTAAAGACCTATACTTCAGGGTTGCCACAGAAGGACGCTGCCTGAAGTCTTTGCGGCCGCACAACAAGATCTTCCTGCCTGATCATATGAGTTTCATACACATGTCTTAATCTTATCTTATGTATAGGCCGTAGACGCCCTCCGCTCTTTTGACCCACAGCGCCACCGCTACCACCACGGGTCCCAAATAGGCACAAACGCCGAGTGGCCGGCAACAGCACCGTGCGATCAAGCTTGCTACCCGATCGCAGGATGTTGGTGCCCGCTGCGCGCACCGCGACGGGCGCGTCCACGCTTTGGTGGGGCGAGTCCACCGTCGAGAACTGGTTGGTCTTCGCATCCTCGCATTGGCATTTCCAGTTCGTATTCTAGAAAATAGGACATGACCCTGTTAAAACAAGTACAGTACTTGTAAATCTTGTAATCATTTTCTATGGTACTTTGAGACTCCAGCTGGTTCCAAGAAACGTGGTGTTCCTCCAAGAGTCCTGATCTGTTCCATCATAAGTAATTAAGCAGGGGCCAGGGCAGGCCCAATCATTCACCACCCCGGAACCATCTATCAAGCCATTCTTTCAATTGGTGCCATCTTTAAAAAAGCACAGGTTCCGATTGGTCTTCTTCACCGCTCCTTCATGAGATACTTCCCCATCTGAGCACCCTTCTGCGCGAAGTACACTTCACTCCTCGGCTCCCACAGCATCTCATCCTCGGTGACGCGAACAGCTGGAACAGTCACCCGACCTGCTCAGCTCGACCTGGTCGAGCTCCAAATCGGAACGCGATTTTTGTTGGAATAAACATAGTGCTCACGAGTTTCGTTTTTCCAGCTGCGCAATGGGGGAGATTC